CGGCCCCCTAAAGAAATGCCACCCCACACCATTACTGACCCACTGCCAAACCAGTCATGCTGGAGGATGTTGCAGGCAGAATGTTCTCCATGGCGTCTCCAGACCCTGTAACATCTGTCACGTGCTCAGTGTAAACCTGCTTTCATCTGTGAAGAGCACAGGGTGCCAGTGGCAAATATGCCAATCTTGGTGTTCTCTGGCAGATGCCAAACGTCCTGCACGGTGTTGGGCTGTAAGCACAACCCCCACCTGTGGACATCGGGCACTCATACCACCCTCATGGAGTCCGTTTCTGACTGTTTGAGCAGCCACATGCACATTTGTGGCCCGCTGGAGGTTATTTTGCAGGGCTCTGGCAGTGCTCCTCCTGTCCCTCCTTGCACAAAGGCGGAGGTAGCGGTCCTGATGCTGGGTTGTTGCCCTCCTACGGCCTCCTCCACGTCTCCTGATGGACTGGCCTGTCTCCTGGTAGCGCTTCCATGCTCTGGACACTACGCTGACAGACACAGTAAACCTTCTTGCCACAGCTTGCATTGATGTGCCATCCTGGATGAGCTGTACTACCTGAGCCACTTGTGTAGGTTGTAGACTCCGTCTCATGATACCACTAGAGTGAAAGCACCATCAGCATTCAAAAGTGACCAAACCATCAGCCAGAAAGCATAGGAACTGAGAAGTGGTCTGTGGTCACCACCTGCAGAACCACTCCTTTATTGGGGATGTCTTACTAACTGCCTCTGCTTTCCACCTGTTGTCTATTCCATTTGCACAACAGCATGTGAAACTGATTGTCAATCAGTGCTGCTACCTAAGTGGACAGTTTGATTTCACAGTAGTGTGACTGACTTGGAGTTACATTGTGTTGTTTAAGTGTTCCCTTTTTTTTTGAGCTGCGTACATTAACTAGATTGCATATTTTATTTGTAACCCAAAACTATTCCTATTCATTAAATGTGGCCTGGGCAAGCCAAAAGGTTGGACAACTAAACGCTAAACATTTTGGTTCTAATACACAAATGGAACAATGGGAGAATATGTGTCTTAAAGAGAATTTTTATAAAATGATGTATTGTTGATAAATGTTACTGGAAAAAATGTATAGAATGTATAAAGGTACTATGAATTTATGCTGGAAATGTAAATATAAGAAGGGATGTTTTATGCTGTGCAAAAAAGCTACAAAATTTTGGACTCAATTATATGTATTAAATACAGAAGGTTAATATGCAATTGAAATGAGGAGTTTTTCTTTTGAGACCAATTGATTAATATCTAAGAAAAAACATGGGAGTCTGTATTTTATATATGACAACTGCAGCAAGATTATTATATTCACGAAGGTGGAAAGAGTCAATTTTACCCACAACGGAGGAATGGATGGTGAAAATGATGGAACTTGCCGAGGTGGCCAAATTGATAGTTTTAATTAGAGACAAAATATTGTCTAAGTTTAATGGTGACTGGAAACTCCTTACTTTTCTGTTTTGTGTAAAACAGAAAAATGAAATTATGATATGGTTTTTTATAATTAGAAAAAGATAATTATAGAAAAATGTAATAGAATAAGATGTTAATTTAAATTTATAACTGCTATAAAAGAAAATCATAAAATTCTTTCTTTTTCTGCACTTTTGTCATTGTCTTTTTCTCTTCCTTTATTCTATACATCAGCTCTTGTTAATTTTTATCTTTTTTTCTAAAAAAAAATTAATAAAGATATCCAGAGATATACTGTATATTGCTGTTGGCAATTTAAGACAGAATAGAGATATAGCTGTTGGTAATAAAAGCAAGAATCAAATTAATGTAGCAGCATGTACCTTAAACACTTAGAAATATATTGGGCAAGCAATATGACCATTCACATATCTCTACTGAAATAAGTGAAATGTCTAACTAAATGTGAACTATTAGATTTAACAATTTGTGTTGCAAGAATCTGTAATTCCCCAAGGGGAACAAACAAAACAAATGGACTTACTTTAGTTGAAAGTTGTCTTAAAATATGACAGAATTGTTCAAGTTAACAAACACATTTAATGGGCACTAAAGATATATGATAAATTATCCCCAAATATAATTCCATTAATTTCTTATTCAAAAATGATTTTGTACTGTGTACTGTACTTTTTGTGTCTTGAGAACTCAATGCAATGATCGTGGTACTAAGAATATGCAAATTATTTGTATTTAAAAAGTTGCCTAATTCAAACACGTATCTATGATGCTGATTAAACATGCTAAGCAGGGCTTTACATACCACTTTTAATTTGCAATTTGCTGACTACTTAGAAGAGTATTTATATAAACAGATAAAGTTATATA